GTGGTGAGTATCAGTGAGCCAACAAATTGTATTTTTCTTTCACAGTAACCACTTCAAAAGCTTTACATGATCAGAAAACCAACCAGCTGAAATTAAAACTGAACACCTGAAGTACGACCAGTGAAACCTTGAAGCAACTCTTTCAAACTACATTATAAAAACTTGTGCGTGTTACGTCAGAAGCACAAAGCGATGGAAATTAGCCAGAGACAGGGAACTGGCCGATAAGAGAGGCGATGTCAGCAGATGTAGTATCGTTCAAACTGCTTGCATCCTCCCTCGATTCCACAAGAGAGCTAGAAAAATAACACATCAACAGGCAGAAAGTCTATCCAGCCCTTAAAGGACTATTAAGTGATTTATTAAAACATTGCCAAATATTCAGAATTATTTCTCCTCAATTTCCCTGCTTTTCAGCATCAAGGTCTTACATAAGAGTAAAAAAACTCAAGACTTAAAAATCTCGGGTCTCTCTCACATGGCAATCAATCTGCTAACAAGCCAAGAAATATTTCTGCTAAGAGAGTTTTCCATGAATTTCAGTTTTAATAATTGACTTAATGCACGTGTGTCAATGGCAGAATAAATATTGTTAGCCTCTGTCAGCAGAAAAACCACTGAACTTTGATATCATAACCAAAAGGACCCCCCCTTAGTTTTTCCAGTGAAAAAACAGCAAGCTGAATTAGGCTGCTACCCTGCAAAATGTTCCAATCACAGATGAAAAAAGGAGTCGAGCTACGATCGCAAAACTTATTAAATCTGGACAAGAAAGATGGTAGTGAAGCAAAGAGTGAAATGGAAATTTGTGATTTGCAACTCTGGCACTGCCTTACAAGCTGACTTGTTTTAAGAACTCATAATCCCAATCTGCATAGCTTTTGAAGTCACACATTACTGACTCTTTTAAGACTAGCTATAATAAATCCACCAATGTTTATGGCTTGAACAAAAGACACAGCACGATATAGGTTTGAACTGTTTATTTTACATCAGATGTTCCATACCAGAGTTTCTTCAGTTAGAAATTCCTAGAAGAAAATGAAACAAATGTCGTTATGAACCAGTTTGCTTCAACAGCTCAAGTAAATATTTTTGACCAGCTGTATAATTATCCTATAAATATAGCATATACATTTTCATCCTAAAAGTTGGATTTGGGCATAGAAATTACCCCTGCAAGAGTTAGCGCATAAGATAAACATACGTACTTGGAAACAATTCCATCATTTTTTGCCAGACGCAGAATGGAGTCATCCGATTCACCCTTTAAAAAAAATAGAAAGATGATTCTGAAGTGACCAAATAATTGCTGATACACATTAAAAAGAGAGGCAGCTGCAGCATTTAATGCTGGTAAGGAAATGCACAATGCCTTCCAAGATCACTGCATTTTATATGCACAGATTAGCGTGTTCAAAACAAGCTGTTAAATTATTTGTCATCCTTTAGAGTAAGAAATGGTTTTAAGTTGATAAAATACATGCTTGCATTAACAAGATATATTCCTGGGTAAGCAGATTTCTGATTTACTCTAGGAAGCTTCACACCACGTTTAACAAATTTAAGTCATGGTAGTATCATCTCTAACAATCATAAACAGCATTTAAAAGCCAGATATTAGTAGCTTGGTACATTCATAAAAGGAAAAAAAAAGTCCATTTGCATCCTTTGGTGATTTAAAAAAAAAAAACAGAAATACAAACATACATAATTCTACAAACCAAAGGACTGAGGAAAAAAAACCAGAAGAAACTGATTCTTGCAAGTGAATTTGTTCATGTCTTCACTGTGTCTTCATTATCCCCACAAAAGCTCTTCCTCTAGAATGAGCTGCAGGCACATTGTGTTTTCAGGGCGAAATATAAATCTAAAAAATTGCTAATCAATATAAAAAGAAGCAAAATCATTTTGTAGCTCAAGAAAATACTTACCATTCTACGAATTGCTCCACAAATGGCATAGGTTTTGAACTGGCCATTTACTCTCCCTGTTACCTTGTCAACCTGCAATTACAATCAAGTTACTCCACACAGATTCTCATAAAATTTTACGCTTTTACATCACACTTGCCAAGCACTCGAAGAGAAAAACTACTCAATACGTTTTGCAAATATTTTTCTACAAACGACAAAAACCCAAGGCAAATACTGAAGTTAGAAAGACAACTTTAGAATATCGTTTCACAGCAAATTTATAGTCAATTACATAGTGCAGCTATAAAATTTAATGGATCACACAGCCTAAGAAGAACATGATACAAAATGGTAGCTAGAAGAAAATGCTTGAGTTCTCAGGAAAATGGAAAAGTTCAATGTAAAGTTTACTTGAGGGTTTTACTGCCTTTGTTATTTCTTCATGTTTCTTTTAATTAAGGTCAGAATTATGGAAAACTGAAGTGAAGGGGGGGGGAGGGGATGGTCTTGTTACACGGGTAATTGAGACACACAAATTGTCTCGCTCCTGCCAGTTGCTGAGAAATTTAACAGGAAAAAAAACCTGAACAATATAAATCATGAAATTAACAGTGTAGTAAGCCCTGTAATACCATGTGATTTTGTTTTTGAGTTCTGCTAATCTCTGATCTTTTGAAAGCAAGAAGGAGGGATCACTGAAGGAACGAAACACAGCGAACAAGAAAAGTTATTTGCCTTAACATTTACAGGAAACACAAACAGAGCGGTTTTAAAATGATTTCTTAAGTCAGACACATAACACAAGAGACTCGGTTGTTTAAAAATATAGGAATGTAGTCTTGTGGTCTCCCATTCAAGAATAAATAAATCAAGCTATATAGCTCATAGGCTGTAGGAACATTGTTACCACAAAATTCCTGCAAGGTGAATAGCAATAAACAAACGGGGGGGAAAAAAAAAGCATGCTAAAAGGAGTTTAAATTAACTGGAGCCCACGTGCATTAACTGGGATCCTGCAGGAGTCGAGGTATACTGTAGTTTTCTGAGCATATATGTTTCGCTTAGAGGAACTGGCAATAACACTACCTTGAGAAGATTAAATTAAACTTAGACAAGAAAAAATTCCTTGTATTACAGAAAGAAAATGAAATGTACAATACCAAGTCAATACAAATAACCAGCATGGCTCAGGAAAAGTTCTAAGCACATAATATCCCAAGCACCGAGTTAATGAAATGATAATGCTGCACACAAAACACATGAGCAACCTCATTTGCCACCAGTCCAGAGCAGCAGTGTCAAGTATTAACAGAAATGATTCAAACAAAACAAGGAAGAGAGCACTATAGTTAAGCAAAGTAGAACAGAAATAAGAGTTCTGCTCTGGAAACTGTGTCTGTCTTAAAGTTTGGACAAACTAGAGAAAAAAGAAAAATTATGATGAACAAGAATGAAAAAATTAAAAAATGGGGTACACAAGGACAGTCTGAAGAACAGTACTTTCTTACTGACAGGTGAAGGTAGAAGGGATAAGAATCTCCCAGAAACAAGCATTTCTTCTCCTTCTTTCCTTCAGGACAAGGAATTCCCTAATTTGTAACTCTAAATATCTAGAGTTAGGAAGTTGTACTTAGTCAAAGAGCATTGGAACAGACTGTACAGAGCTTTATGAAGTTCCCTTTAGAGAGTATTTTCCTATAGGCTGAAAAATAACCAGGGGTGACATGGTAACATACTCGTATGTTTGACAGCCCTGGAGCTCTACGCGTACAGGGTCTCCAGTGAATTATTTGTAGATGTGAAGCTGTTGTATTTCTTAACTTTTACCAACAGTTGAAAGGCGTAGGCCTCATCACATACTTTGGTTAAGAAACTTACCTCGGAAATGTTTATCTGAATAGAAGCATGATCCTTAGCACCAATTATTCGATTGCTAGCAGAGCTAAGGAATAAAATAAGATATATTTAAGCAAAATGAAACGGACAGTGACATTGAAAAAAAAACCTCCAAAACCAAATCAACATGCAAATTAAAGCTGCACAAAAAGTTGAAACAGCCACATTTAAGCTTTCAGTGCTCAGAAAATTAAAATGCAGTTTTTAGTATATTTAAAGAAGAGTTTCGCTTGGTAGCATGACACCAAGTTGCCAACTACCCCTTTCCTTTGGTTTTTCTATGCTCTGTTCAGGCCCACACAGTGCACACAGCAGCACGGGCCTTCAAAACACACAGAAAATCGAGTTTGCCTTTTCTAAAGCACAAAAAATGCAGCAATCGAGGCATTTCATGAGGACGCCGTTTCTGTGCCTTTTTCATTGGGAGCCATAAAAGACACGCAGGTCGCCAACCTTCAGAAATCTCAGGTTGTGAAAAACATTTGAGTTAAGCCTAAACAGCAAGCATACAAACCGATTATTTTTTAGTGACTTTTTTTTTTTTTGTTCGCAGCCAGGGCCCCGCTCCTCGGGGTACGCGCCCTCCCCCAGGGCCCCGCTCCTCACCATTTCCGAGGGACGTAGAGGTCCACGAACTCCCCGGCGTCGTTCTGCATCTCGTTGGGGCTGCCGCCGAGGCGCGGGCACCAAGCGCTGACACCTGCAAGGAGCGAGGCCGGGCTCATGGGCCTTCC